CAATGACCACAAAATTGGATCTCTCATATGCTTTATTTATTTTTAAAAGATATATATGAAAGATGCAAATTTAGATACCACTATTATTCTGTTTCTTGAAAACGATTTTGATTTTTAATTTGAGTGACATTATCATACATAATATTATCAAGAAACTTGGGGGCAATTTTATAGATGAACATAGGAGTGAGTATCAAATTAACTGTGGGAAGCATTTGTATCATCATTCATATATACAACAGTCGAGTGATGATAATAGAGTCATATAAACATAGAGAGAGGCCTGCCATGGGAATAACATATTGTAACATGTAAAAACTTAGCAACCTCAAATTTTATTTTATTGGGAATTTGTCAAAGACCTCTCACCGCAGTGCAAGGGACCCCTTAGGCTCTCTCAAATACAAGGGATGGTTTTGAGGAATATATTTGGGTTAATATAGATCAGAATCTTTGGCAAAGATATGACCCGAAGAGATTCCAGCAAGGCTTCTTCCTCTGTGCAGTACCGCGTGTGAGATCTTCGTTGTTCTTGTGTAACAGATTCCACATTATGTGTATYTCTTCGTATTCCGACGAACTCACGTCGTTTTGTAACCTCAAGAGTCCTGCACACACACAAGATGGCATAAGGACGCAATCAAGAAGAATAAAAAGTGAACTATGAGACCCGAATCTAAATTTTAATCTCATGTAAAATTTTCCAACTCTTCCAATTCCAATTCAAATCAACCTTTTTAAATATAGCTTGTGAACTATTATTCATCTTTTGGGGACTAACCACATACTATAAAACAATCAAGTGGCCCACCAGAAATAAGAAAGTGTAACTCAGAGAGTTTCTTTAGCTAATTCAAATCACATACTATTTTGTTTCCACCGACAGTTTCCATAAATCATCGAGAAGCAGGAAGAAATTTGATAATAAATCATATCTTATTATGATGAGAATATTTTGTATCAAAACAGAGAAACCGTAAGATCAATTCAAAAATACTTTTGTCTTATGACCAACGGATGAATGACATATAACGTCCCAGCGGTAGATGATCGGAGCTTACCGGTGTGGCGGAAACCGACGCGAACGGTGAAACGGTTCCAGATACGGCGCGTGGGGAAGGCCATCGTGTTCCACCACTCTCTCCATCGCAGGCCGGCCATTTGATTGAGCTTTCTCATCTTCT